ATCAATGGGGAAAATAGGGTTAGGTTCTGGAGGCCCATAAAGGTGACTAACTTGACCTAACGAGTTCATTTTCTTACTAACTAAAGCACCAATGAACATTAGACTCTGGAACAACAGGCTATTTCAATTCAAGGAACACCAGACTCGGCAGCAGACGCCACACTGCTGCCCTCACTTGACAATCCCACACCTACAAAAGCGAACACCAAAAATATTACTTACAGTATTAAATCATTTCCATTAAGCTTTCCATTATCTTCACTTCAATTTTTACATCACTAGCAACCCATTTACAACCCTTAGAAGTCGTAATCTGCGGCAGAGTCGGCTGCTTTCTCATCACTCACTCAGAAAGACTGAGCGTGAATGTGTGAGTGAGCAGCCACGGTAGCGCCTCTGGTGAACAAATAATGCATTTGTTTGCCATGGCGGTATATTTGAAATATTTCCTACCCGATTTCCCTCTCGAAATAATTTTTTTTATCGCTATATACAGTACAGTATAGGAAAATTTTGATAATTTTGGTAGCCGCGATATAAATTTTTTTATATAAAGTTGCGACATATCCCAACCCTCCTGTATACAGTATACAGTAGAATGTCGATTTAAAGCGATTTAATTTAAGATTATTGATTTAAAGCAACACCCACAATTAAGGACAATGTTTTAATTTATAGCGAATCTTTCCTATTTTGCGTGAGTCAATCTGGCGCATCATATTCAAAATTTTGCTCCTAATGTTTTTTTGGGCACGCTACACTGTCCTAAGGGCAAAGCTGTGCTGTACATGTACTCAAAATAATGTACTAAATGATTACTAAAATGTTTATCTAGTGCAAACTATCGTATGATTAGTATATTCAAATTAATCACTATCTTATAAGAATTCCAGCAATGTAAATTATATTCTCTCCAGTCACTTCTGTGACATTTTATGAGCAAAAAACATAAACTCAAGTTAAAGGACATAAATAAACAAGTAAATATTCACTAGACCTTTGCCCCCAACTGTCACACATGTCACTGTCACTTCCCTCCCTCCCTCCCTCCTGCCCCAGCCAGAGTTTGGTGTTTTAGGCTTAAAGTTTTTATCTTATATAATGTCAGACTAAAGTTAGGAGAATATAATTTGTATTGCTGGAATCCTTGAAAGACAACGGATAAATTGAATATAAATGTCATATATTATGCACAAGAGATAAAATTTTTGCTCTTTGTAGTAAAATTCTTGAATTAGAACTAAAATTGTATGTCTAATATGAGCTATAGCATGTTTATATTCAAGTTAATCACTATCTTATATTCCCCCATGTCAGTTCAGTGACATTTTATAAGAGAAAAACTTTAAGTCACTCTTAAGAACAGATAAATAAATAAGCACTAGACCTTGGCATCAACTGTCAAACATATCACCTCACCTCCCTCCCTCCCCCCATCTTCCCAGCCAGTAAACAGACCATTTTGCTTCCCTTAATTTTTGCTGTGTTGATTTATGAGTGTTTGTTTTAACATAATACTACAAAAAACAATGTTTTGTTTATTCTAGGAGATGGGCCGAGTTGCATCTGGGTAGACTCAGTCTTTTTAGTATTTTGTGTTTCTCTCAAGTACCAAACTAAATTATTTCATTGAAACACCACTTTGATTTGGTGCGAATTCGGTTTAAAGCGACCTCTCTTGGAACTTATCTCCCATTATATCGATGTTCTACTGTATTACTTTAAGAAAATTATGGCTATAGGAAGAAAATTCACACACAGTTTTTTCCTAAATACTGCCTGCTAAATTAGGGGGTGCGTCTTATATGGCCGGGCATCTTATATGTTGTAAAGTACTGTAATTCTTTTTGGAAAATTAGTTTCATATCACGATTATGTTTGTATGGCTAAATATAAGATTACAGTAGTGTACATTAAATGGGTCACAAGTTAATAATTTAACCTCATGCACTCCAGCATGTAATAGGAAGTGTGACTTTAGAGGAAGAAAAAGGCCACTACTGGTTTATCACAAAACCAGTTAACATTTTATCGAGAAAATTACTGTGCCACAATTAGTACAGTATTGGTTTTATAGTTCAGCAATGATGTGAACTTCAAGAATTTTTTAAGTTATTGGGAGATGAAGCAACAAAAAATACAGTTGGTCCTCACATTACGCGGTTAATGTAACCCGGAGGGTCCCGCGGAAAGTGAGGAACGCGTAAAGTGAACAACATAACATATGGGATTAATTGAAATGGAGTCCAGGCCGATCCCCAAACTCCACTTTTTGACGACACACAACTATGTTGTAGTAAAAATTTTATCTTAACTTTATGATGGTATGAAAAAACAAGTAATATAGAAGAGGTTAGGTTAGGAAAGATAAAGGTTAACATAGGAAAAATAAAGAATAGGTTAAAAAACTAAAAATTTTGTGGAACACTTACGGTAGTAGAAGAGATGGGTCGGCATACGGGGATGGAGGCTGGTTCCGAGGCAGAGGGCAGATTACTGGCCCTCAGGTGAATCACCATTACTAGGTGAATCATCATCACTGTCACTTACAGTTGTCAGGGCTTCCCTGACAAATCCCTCAAAGTCAACTTCACTGTCACTATCACTGGCTTGGGCTGGCTGTGGTGGGTTGCGGGTGAAGAAATCTGTTATGCTTTGCTGACGGCTGGCGTTGATGTTGTCGTGATACACCGTGATGTACGGCTCCATAGCCTGCACCAGCCGGTTATGGAAGACTTCATAGCGGTCATCGTCATTGTCGCGGGAAAGGACGGACTTAATTTTCTCTGCAAACTCCATGGCACACTTAATATCACTATGACTTAAACTGTGTTCTTCGGAGACTGACGCACCTTCTTCCTCCTCTTCACTGACGTGTTCTTCTTCCATCATCTCGTCGGCAGTCACTTCAGGATCTCTGATCACCTCCAGGATGTCGTCGTTGGTGGTCTCGGAGAAGCCTGGAACTGTAACAGTCTGCGCAGCTTCTCTGGCAAGGTCCACTGCTACTGCAACATTCTGAACCTCACCAGTCACAGATTGACTCCTCCTCTCACCTGGTATTCCATGCAACACATGTCTCCATGCGTGACGAATTGTAGCAATAGACAGCTGATCCCATGACTCCACCAAGATGTCCACAGCTTTCTTGATGTTAAATACTCTCCAGAATTGTTTGAAGAGTATTTTTTGCTGTTCTAACCGTTGTTCCTCATCTTCGTCGCTCTTGCTATCGGTGGTGGTGTCACTCAGGTCACGCAACTCTTCCCTGGTGTTGGTGTAGTCGTTCAGGAGCTGGAATTTTTTTGTTGAGAATGCAGCTTTCACATTGCAAATCAACTCCTGGTCCATGGGCTGTAATATAGACGTAGTGTTGGGAGGAAGGAAGACCACTTTTACGTTGGGGTGACGATCTAACAGTAGGGGCGAGTGTCCTGGTGCGTTGTCCAGCAGCAACAAAATATTAAATGGGACATTCTGTTGCTCACAGAATTTCTTTACATCGGGAACAAAACAGTCATCAAACCAGGAGAGGGACAGTGTAGAGAACATCCATGCCTTACGTGCTGTCAGCCAGTGGACATTTAGCTTGGTCATGTCCATGGTTTTGTAGGCGTGCGGCTTGCGTGCTGTGTGGATCACCGATAACTTGAGCTTACAGGTACCGGAGGCATTGGTGGCAAACAGGACGGTGATGCGTTCCTTCTGCATTTTCCGGCCCCGAATCCTGCTGGCATTCTTCACAATGTAGGACTTGGAAGGTAGTTTTCTCCAGAAAAGACCAGATTCGTCCATGTTAAACACCTGGTCGTCGGTGTACTGTCCTTCCTCCATAATCTCACGTAAAAACGGAGGAAATTCCCGAGCCGCAGCACGATCAGCACTCGCTTCTTCACCACCAATGTTTATATTGGTGATCTTGTTCCGGATCTTAAACCTCTGTAACCACCCAGAGGAAGCAGTAAAGGGTTTGGGCTCTGAAGTTCCCATCTTTCGTGCCACTGCCATGTACAGTTCACGTGCGTAGTCCTTCACAGAGCGCGTGTCGACCGCCATGTTCCGTCGCGCCTGACGCACCAAGTACCTCACAAGTAATTTTTCTGTCTTGAGAAGCACCTGGTTGTGAAAATACTTGATCATAGAAGCACCTGTAGACTTTGTGATCTTCATGTGCTCCTTTATCTTGGCTGAATCCTTCTTTATAGTCCGGATCGTAGATTCGTTGACGCCATGCTGGCGCGCGAGATCAACTTGCCGTGTTCCTTTCTCCAAATCTTGAATAATTTGGTACTTCACCTCGTAGCTTAAGGAACGTCGTGTCCTCTTTGGCTTAGTGCCGCTGGGTCCAGGTAAGGAAAGGTTTTTCTCTGGGGGTGGTGGTCCGGCGGAAGCCATTTTACGGAACAATGGATGCGCGTTAATACGGAGTGGCCTTGAGGGATGAGACTGTCGCGGCTAGGTCAAGCGTCGTCTCTCCTCCCTCCCTCCCTGCCCCGGGTGGACACGTCATAATACTTTAAGCCAATTACAGCTAGCAGCAGAGGAGGGTAGGGATGCATGGCCAATCAAAGGTCTTGTACGTCATATGACGTCAGTGATAACGCAACAAAGACACACTGCGCAACCTTACCGCGCCGCTTGCCCAAGCGGAGGGAGGAGGAGGGAGAGGCAGGCAGGCGGGCAGGCGGGTGGCGCGTGGGGAAAATCTAAAAATAGCGTCGCGCCGGACACTCTCCGCGTAATGGCGTTCGCGACCGCGAAATGTGAAAATGTTAGGTTCTGGCAAGGCACCGCGGTAACGGTGGAACGCGGAATGCGGGACTGCTTAATGTGAGGACCAACTGTATGCTGATAGTTTAGTGTGCGTCTCCTCAGTTTGCTGGGATTTAATGAAACTTTATTAAAAATATACACCTGGAGATGGACTTACATTGCACTATATTTTGAGATAGTGAATCAGATAGCTATTATACAATCTATAAAAATTTTTACTTGTCCAGGTAATAGACCACTATGAAAATCCCCGCAATGTGGGTTCCATGGACAAGAATGACACTACTGTTGGAACAGGCCTGGTGGGAGCCCCAGCCTGTGGTGATGTCATGAAGCTTCAGATCAAGGTGGATGTTGATGGGATGATAACTGAAGCCAAATTCAAAACATTTGGATGTGGCTCAGCAATTGCCTCATCATCTCTTGCAACAGAATGGGTTAAAGGCAAAACAGTGAGTTTTTTTTTATTAACCACTCTATTCTCTTTTTTTATTTGCTATTGAAACTTGAGTAGATGTAGCAAAGAGATTCGCACAATATTTATCTTATTTTTTCTACATCATGAATTAATAAAACTTGTGCATGTAAGAGAGAGAACAAATTAGATTATTTGTTTTTTAAGATTAGAAAGGTTGAACCTGTAATGAGGCAAAACAAAGATCTGTTATTGGAAACAAAGGACAAGAAGTGGAGCTAGATAAATGAAAGTGATAGAATTTTGTAAGGTCTTAAAAGTTATGAATTACTGCCAGTAGAAATGTTTGATGAAAAGTTTGTCAAGGAAACAATAAGCACAGTGCCCAATAGATTTTTGTGTTTATAATACTGTATAGGGGTTTAAATTGATGAGTCCTCCTAATATTACATATTTAAGTACAGTAATTATTAGATGTTTTAATTGCCTGTATGTTAGCTTGGCGAGTTAATGCTAGGCATTTACATACGTAGGTATAAAGCTAGACGTCGCATTCTGGACTTTATCACAAAAACTGGTTTTTAGAAGAAAAAAATTATCTTATGTCACTTATGGAGGTTCTAAGATAGCTTTTGAACATAGAGAATGAAAGTGAACTGTGTTTTTTTTTAATAGTTCTGTATTGAATATTAGTAAATAGGAAGTTAATTTTTTCTTCATATTTCTCCTCAGGTGGATGAAGCTCTGAGGATCAAAAATGTTGACATTGCCAAAGAATTGAATTTGCCTCCTGTCAAGCTACACTGTTCTAGTAAGTTTCTATACAGTACAGGTTGTCCCTCTCTAGTCCGGCAACCTCGGGACCTGACCGGTGCCGGACCATGGAAATTCACCCTTTTCCTGGATAGATAGTGACTTTTGCTTATGCTTGGAAGCACTAGCACCACTTTCTCTGCTTCATGGTCTCTTTGAAGACATATTGAAGGGTTAAATGTCGTACAGTAGCTTCTCAAATTTCGCGAGTTTTTAATTCAACGTTTTTTATTTGAACACACCAAAAAACAAAACAATTAAAAATTTGACGGCGGAAATTCGAATTTCGACGTGTTTGAACGGCCCACCAACGTTCAGACGACGTGCACAATCATGTAAACAGCGTCATTTCTCTTATGTACAAAAGATTCATTATTGTTTATTACTGAATGTCTTTTTGATTGATTTAATGTTTGTGTGTGCAAAATGGGCAATACAATTCATTAATAATACGTAGAATATTAAAACACACAAGGAAATGAGACAGCATTGTTTTCATTGATTACAAAATCAGTGACTGACTGGTTCTACATATAAAACTGAAGAAAATAAGACCTTGGTTGTAGCTGTAGTAAAATTAATGTAAAAAAAGTAATATGCTTATTTGAAGTAATGTTATTTAATGTAATAAATGGAACAATATACTGTAAGTAGCTAACCATTAACGGTAAAGAAAAAAAAGTGAGACTGCGCGTATATAAGTGCGCACATGTGAAAACATATCGTCATTACTCTACAATATGAAAGCAACACTTATTTACTGCTCATATATATTTTATTAATGTTTCTGAATTTTGATTGTTTGTGTGTGCAAAATGGGCAATACAATTCATTAATAATACGTAGAATATTAAAACACACAAGGAAATGAGACAGCATTGTTTTCATTGATTACAAAATCAGTGACTGACTGGTTCTACATATAAAACTGAAGAAAATAAGACCTTGGTTGTAGCTGTAGTAAAATTAATGTAAAAAAAGTAATATGCTTATTTGAAGTAATGTTATTTAATGTAATAAATGGAACAATATACTGTAAGTAGCTAACCATTAACGGTAAAGAAAAAAAAGTGAGACTGCGCGTATATAAGTGCGCACATGTGAAAACATATCGTCATTACTCTACAATATGAAAGCAACACTTATTTACTGCTCATATATATTGAAGAGTTAAATGTTGTACTCTGTATAGACAAGCAGAGAGAGAGAGAGAGAGCAGCCGAACTGCCGGATGTAAACAAACCTTAATTTCCCGCGACTTTGTTGTTGTTTTTTATGGGGATTAGCCCACCCGGGCATAGGTCACTGACCCACATTGGGGCCTGAGGGGCAAAAATTTAATACTCCTGTAATAATAATAATAATGCAGATAAAAAAAAATGCTGCCTAACCAATTGGACAAACTAAAATCGTGCCGAACCACGGGAGTTTCCGGACCACAGAATGCCGGACTAGAGAGGTACAACTGTATTGCCTCAGTAAGATTTGTGTACAGAATGTTGGAATTTCTGCATGTGCATATATGAACATATATGTTGACTGTTACAGTAAACTCCTCCAATTTCACATAAATTGTTTTGACATTCAGGTTTTTTGTGGTTGTTAAACAATTATTCTTTATTTTGGGAAAAGTCCAAGATCTTGAATGCATGGTACAAAAAAGATGGTGGTGCACTTGGTGACTTTCATGTTAGTTGAAAGTTTAGTTTGATCTGCTGACTCATACATATAAGTAACATTTGGATAGTTTTAGATGCTCTGTAATTTTTCCATAAAGATGTGAGGTTGGTATAGTTTTTCAGGAATATTTTGGAAGTACATGTTTTCGCTTGCACTGACCGGGCAACCAGCTTTAGTATCAGTCCGCCAATACATTAATCGGTTCTAGGGCTTAAATTCCTTACTATTTTAGTAAATATCAAGAAGTTTATACTATTCAATAATTTTAAAAGTTTAATATTCAATTTTTTAGTCATTTTAACAATTATTGAACATAATTGAAGGTAAAGTGACTAGTTTAAAGCGCAGCATCCAGCCTCTTAACACAGCAAACAGGCGTTAGTCTCTCTGTTTTCACTGGAGGTAACATCTTGCTTGAGACTCTCTTCAACTAAACGCTTTTTTCTGTGTTTCCAAGCAAATTATTGGTCATTTTGAAATATATTTTACATATTGACAATATATAATGCAGTACAGTGTTGATTTAAAGAAAATAATCTTGAAATACACCAAGAGAACTAAAATTTTATGGGTGAAATGGTGCCATGGGGTGACTTCTCTTCCACCCCAATGCCTTCTCTTCTTCCTTCTCCTCCACCCCCATTGTAATTCCCATCATCATCATCATCATCCAGGAGCCTTCTACATACACACCTCAAAGTAAGTGAACTTTTCTACCATTTTTGTTGAATTTAGGAAATTTTCGGTGAGCTGGAACCAATTACCCAAAAACCCATTGAAACAATGGTTTCGGTTAACGAACTTTTCGGTTAACGAACTTTTCGGTTAACGAACGACCTTCTGGAACGGATTGAGTTCGTTAACTGAGGGGTCACTGTATATTATATTTACTCAGTTTCAATGTTCTTACCTTTCTGAAGTATACTCTGTTTTACATCTATTCTTATACATGGGTTAGTCTGGGGAACCATGTTATTCTTAGTACAACACTTTTTATACTTACCAAGGGTAGCTGCCACCACCCAGACTTTTCATTATATAACATAACTCATGGAAAGTTTTTGGGTAGTGTGGTAGATGTATAGGCACGTGTGTGTGTGTTTTTTTTCTCTGTAACATTAAGCTTCACCCTTAGTAGGTAAGATGTTTCATAAAGAGGTTTCTCCCATTCGTCATTGTGAGCATCGTCCCAGAGCACATTGTTTCCATCAAAACCATGGTTCATCCTTATTCCCTTCTTCCGTGTAACTATATCCGTATGGCTAAGTGCTTGCTTTTCATTTCTTTATTTACCAAAATAATGTGGATCAGTTACTCGTTATTTAGCACATACATGCACTTAGAGCATCAAGATTGTTTTGTAGGCATGACTATTGGTTAATTGAAACCCCAAAAATGTGGTTTTACGTCATTTCACATAAATATGCTTACAAAATCTATGCATTAATATGCATAACTCTTGGGAATCTGTCCAGCCATTAAATATATGTTATATACTACAATAATCACATAAATATGTTTACAATGTTTATGCATAATAAATGTGAAAAATATTGTAAAGATGAGTGGGAACAGGGTACGACGACCAGTGACAGCCAGCAGATTCGACCACCGCTACACCAAGAAAACCGTGAAACATCCGGACCATGTTATGGTGTGGGGGTGCTTCAGTGGTGCTGTGGGTAGAGGAGGCTTGTATTTCCTCCCTCGCAATGTTACAATGAATAGTGACCGGTATATCGAGGTGTTAAATGAGCACCTGCTCACATTTTATGTCATTCATGGATGTGACTTGTTTATGCAGGATGGTGCACCGTGCCTCACATCCAAGAAATCAATGAAATGGCTCGGTGATCATGATATACGAGTGCTTGAGTGGCCTGGCAACTCACCAGACTTAAATCCAATTGAAAATGTCTGGTCATATATGAAACAAAAGCTGAATTCCATGGATACATCGTCTGTGCCAAGACTGAAGGAATCCCTCTGGAAGATGTGGTTAAATGATTTGGACATCGATTACTTCAAGAAGCTGTCTGATTCTATGCCAAACCGGCTCCAAATGGTGATTGACAACAAGGGGTGGACCACCAAATACTAATGAGAGGGGGAGGGGGGGGTGGTAAGTATAGGCCATACACTGTTTATATACCATAAAGCACGTGTTTTTCCAAAAAATTTAACCGCACGGGGGTAGGTCGCAAGACTTTTTGCGGACACTGTACAGTACCTTACTGATAATACAGCTTCAGAGGTACAGTACCTTACTGATACAGCTTCAGGGGTACGGTACCTTACTGATAATACAGCTTCAGAGGTACAGTACCTTACTGAATCGGCTGCTTGTCCAATTAACCAGTCCGTTCACATATATTTATATTTGGGTTTTAAGTAACGAAACCCAAACGGTAGTTCCTTTGTTTTATTATAAAAGGTTTTATATATAATTCCGGAGTGTTGATCAACCGTAAGTCTCACTGTCTAGGAGTGAATGAGAAGGGGACGGCGTTTATGTATTATAAACGTTAGGTCACGTGCTTACAGAAATGCTGAGCTATGGGTCTCGCCCTCTTGGGTGAGTTGCCCGCTCACGTGTCCAACCCATGTCTTACTCATAGACAGTGGAGAGTTACAGGGTGGTGAATCTGAATATAATATCAGATGTATTGACCCATTTATATAATATGTTCTGTTGATGAGACAGGGGCCTATTACATCGCTCGGTCACCTACCAGCCGAGCTCCGTGAGGCCTAAATAACTCACAGAGTACAGTACATCCTAGACAACCCTAACCATGTTATAAACAGATATGTAGACACTAAGCTGGGGATATTACTGTAGGGGTATTCTCTACTACAGGGGACCTAGACTTTAGTGTCGTACGGGCTAGTATGTTATGAACAATGTTAAATTTGGATGATACTGCCCTGTAATAACAGAGCAGGAACATAATTACCATAATTAACAGAATAGAAGGAATCGTAAGACTTGGTAGTGCAAATTCCCGTGATAAGTAAAATGGCAATTTATTTTCCAAATCAGCAAAATGTGTCTCATTCAAGAAGGCTAAAACTTTTAATTTCTCTGATACTATTTGAATATCCTTGATAGTGAAATTCATTACAGGAAGTTGAATTAAAGCAGACTTGAGTTTTCGGTTTAACGCAAAATGCTGATGAGTAGGCAAGGTCCGTAATGTACTACAAGTGATTTCACAGTAATCCGGAGCCTTGTAATGCCCTTTCACAACTAGCTGCTTAACACCATTTTGGCATTTTAAAATTACAGTAGTGAGATTTGGAAAGAACAAATACTGT